GCTGCCTGACGGTCTCACTCGCAGGGGCGACATCAACCTGCTGATGCTGGGAGATCCGGGTACGGCCAAGTCCCAGCTGCTCAAGTTCGTGGAGAGATGTTCACCTATCGGGGTATTTAAATTCTCCATTATCTGTCCTCATTGTAAACTGCTCTTATTTTAAATCCCCCCCCCCCCACTGATGCTGAGTCCTGACTCTGTGTCTTCAGGTGTATACCTCAGGTAAGGGCAGCAGTGCGGCGGGTCTGACCGCCTCCGTGCTCAGGGACCCCCACACTCGAGGATTCATCATGGAGGGCGGAGCCATGGTGCTGGCTGACGGCGGAGTTGTGTGCATCGATGAGTTCGACAAGGTACGAAGAGTTCGAGCTGTTTGTTCGTCTTCGTTTGTGGATCAAAGACAAACCTCTGCTTTTGTTCTTCAGATGAGAGAAGATGACAGAGTGGCCATCCACGAAGCCATGGAGCAGCAGACCATCTCCATCGCCAAGGTATGACCCACATGCACATTTGCTTTTCCCCGATGAAATACGTTGTGATTTTACTGAAATACACGAGGGAGAGAGATGAAATGCATTATTGGAAATATTTGTTAGAGCTCTTAGGTCCGCGATCAGGTTTTTAAATTAGCGATTCAGACAATGTCTGACGATCTGGAGAGTTTCATCATTTCAACATCTCGACTCCTCCCAGGCCGGCATCACCACCACCCTGAACTCTCGCTGCTCGGTCCTGGCTGCAGCCAACTCGGTGTTCGGCCGCTGGGACGACACGAAGGGCGAGGACAACATCGACTTCATGCCCACCATCCTGTCCCGTTTCGACATGATCTTCATCATCAAAGACCACCACGACCAGCAGAGGGACATGGTGAGGAGGCCGCAGGTTTTTAAATCCTCAGGTCGACAGAAACATTATTCCCGAGCGTGACGTTTGATGTTTGACTCTTCGTAGACTCTGGCCCGTCACGTGATGAACGTTCACCTCAGTGCTCAGACGCAGACGGAGGGTGTTGAGGGAGAGATCCCACTCGCCACCTATAAGAAATACATCGCCTATGCCAGAGTGTGAGTATATCTGGATTCATATTTGCTGCTCGACAACAGAGCGTTTGACTTTTGAAAGCCTGAATTAGATTTGTTTTAATTTGGCCTGAATGTTTGCTCACAGTAAATGTGGCCCTCGACTCTCCACGGCCGCTGCCGAGAAGCTGAAGAACAGATACGTGGTGATGAGGAGCGGAGCGAGGGAGCACGAGAGAGAGAGCGACAAAAGACCCTCCATCCCCATCACTGTCAGGTATTTTCACGGACATGTGTTTTCACACCGCTGATACTCGTATGTTCTTGAGTATAAACTTTGTGTTTGCGGTTTTTCAGGCAGCTGGAGGCCGTCGTGCGTATCGCAGAGTCTCTGGCGAAGATGAAGCTGCAGGCTGTGGCTGGAGAGGCGGAGGTGGACGAGGCCCTCAGACTCTTCCAGGTCTCCACACTGGACGCTGCGCTGTCCGGCAGCCTGTCAGGTGCGTGCTTGAGTGAGATTTCATGTATTGATTCAGCTGTAGCTCTAGAACTAATACACAATTGAGTGTGATTAATCTGGAACAAGCTGCTCCAATCCCATCCACCAGGGGGAGGCAAACACTACAGAATAACAATAAAGCAATATGGATTAAGCAACACCTCAACAGTAAAGATGGAGGATTGTTGACACTCAGATGAACATGTCTTTTTAAACTGCACACAGCCGTTTCATGCTCTAACGTGTCTCCGACCACGTGCTGTGTTCAGGTGTGGAGGGCTTCACTTCTCAGGAGGACCAGGAAATGATCTCCCGCATCGAGAAGCAGCTGAAGAGACGCTTCGCCATCGGCTCCCAGGTGTCGGAGCACAGCATCGTCCAGGACTTCACCAAACAGGTCAGTCACAGCAAATCAATTAGAGGATTCATCTGGGTGACACTGATGAACTTTGAAGACGGATCAGTACATAGATTTGCATACTGGCTGATGCCTGACCCGGGGTTTTTGGCAGCATTGGAGGTATTTCCAATACTAGTAACGGAACATCTGTAATTAAAACACATAGATGTTTGGATCTTGCCAGCTGTCTAGTTTTGCCAGAGGAGTAATACTCTGTTATATCCCACACATTACGTTTAATGATCAAGTGTTGGTGAGTAATTTATATTCTCCTGCTCTGGTCTACAGAAATATCCGGAGCACGCCATCTACAAAGTCCTGCACCTGATGCTGAGGAGGGGAGAGATGCAGCACCGCATGCAGAGGAAGGTTCTCTACAGAGTCAAGTAGAGCGGCCTGCTGCTCCGGTCCACGTCCCACCTGTTGTATATAGTTCTCATCTCTGTGTTTACCGTCAGTGTCTGATCTCAGTCAAGGTGAAAGCTCTTCCTGTATTTTTCTTCTGACTGATTCAGTGAAATTGTTATAAAGACAGTTCTTACTGTTAAAATGTTGATGATGTTTTGTGTAAACGCAAAGATTGAGGTGTCTGCATTGTTTGTAAAAAAAAATCCCCAAATAATAAAGTATTTGAAACGTTAAGATTCAGTTCGTGTTTTCAGTTTCAGAGTCGAAGACAGTTTTCACTTAGTAAATCTTTAATAAAATACATGTAAAAACTCCGGTTGTGATTCGATTATAAAGATCTTGGACACACGTGTCTCATTTGTTGTACAGAACGATGAGTAACGTGCTGGTGGCGCTGAAGACAGAGGCCAGCGCGACACACAGTCCCATCGTGAACTGTGTGATCTGTGGAGACAGGAGCCCGGCCGCTGGCAAGCTGCTCTTCGATTGGTCCGCCGTCGCCATTGTGACACTGAGCATTTTCTGCAAGTCGTCAAAAACCTGCAGGAGAACAAGTTGCAGAAACTGTTATTAAGTCGCTGTGCTGACTCTGCATTTTATTCCTTAGTCTCACTTCCTCTTCAGAGTTAATGTCAGTTCAGTAATGGCTAATAAAGCCTGTTCAGATTCACAACACAGTATGTGCACACATGCAGGGGAGTTTGACTCTGGTTTAGCATTAAGCTCAATGTATAAATAAAAAAAAGAGAACCTCAGAGATACGAATAACGACCAGCTTGACAGAGGAAACTAACCCCGTCCTTCTCCCCCATCGACTGAGAGATCTCAGCAGCTCAGAAACTAGAGCCACATCCTGATCCTGTGTTTTTGTTTGAAAATGCATGAACTCTTCCCCAGAAGAACCTGCTGTCGTTGTTTACATGGACAGTGATATTCTGACTATTGACCTCATACAGAAAAAGATTATTTCCATCAGGATGTTTCCACTAGAATATACATGTTTTATACCCGTTCAAATGTTAAGAGTCTGATTCCGACTCACATCCGATATTAATCCGTCAGTTTCATAACCTCAAGCTGAACGTCCGATGCCAATGTTTGGACCATTTTAGGGCTTTTCTTTCTAAATCCATCTCCTTTTTGTTTTAGTTACAATGTGAAGAAGATGTGCACATGTCAAGATGAAGGGTCAGAATACTCCACATGTCCATTCTTTCCGGGAACCTGCCAATGTTCCCCACAATCCTCCTCTGCTTCAGTCTGCGTTTCCTCACCTGGATGTTGAACTCGAATGCGGACACGGCCTCCTCCAGCACCTCCCTCCTCTCCTCCTCCGTCAGCTCGATGCTGTTCATGCGGCCCCTGTACAGCTGCTTGAAGCGGTGGGGGCTGCTCACACCGGGGAAGGAGAAAAACGACAGCCCCTCTTTGCCGCTCAGCCCGAGGGACTTCTGGGTAATCTTCCCCAGCACTTGACCTCCCGAAAGGTCCCCGAGGTACCGGGTGTAGGCGTGGGCCACCAGCAGCGTCGGGTTCTCCTCACCTATCTGCAGAGCGAACACGTAATCAGATTTTGTGTTTGTTTGGATCGATGGATGATTCCAGGTCAGCTCCCTCACCTGTCGCAGCCTCTGTTTGTATGTGTGCGTGGCTGCGGGGACAATCACCCTCTTCCTCCAGTCCGAGCCCAGGAAGTGCTCCAGATCTCTTTCCAGAGACTCCAGACGGGCGAGTTCCTGAGGGAAGTAAATGGGGGCCACAGCTGGATGAGAGGAGTTCCTGTCCAGCTCCTCCTCGAGGGCCTTGTAGATCTCGTAGAGGGAACACAGCAGCACCTGAGAGACGTGGTTAAACAAAAATCCACTTTAAAAGATGTTTACTGACTCTCCAGAGTTGACTGATCCGGTTTGGGGGAGTCTAGAACCGACCTTGTACTGTGGCAGAGTGATCTGACCCTTCTGGTAGCTCAGCATCAGCTGCGTGTTCTCCGCTCTGACGTGGTTGTCTTTGGTTGCTGCTTTAATCTGCTCTGATAAATCACTGAAGACGAGACAGGACGCAGGAGGAACTTTTATTGTATCTTGAAAACTCTTATTATTTGCTAATGTCTGGGTTTAAAATCTCTTTACAACTGCAGCTTTCTTACCTGCCGACCTCCCCTGTGTCATGTTTCCTCGCACTCTTCATGTCGTCCATCTGTGCAGACTGTGACGAACACTTCATTTTACATTGGATCAGAGTGAGAAGCCACAGAACTGTGGATGTTATGTGATTTGATTTACCTGCGATCCAGGCGGGAGTCTCGTCTCCTTCGTGCTGGTGCGGGTTCGGTTGTCTCCTCCTCTGAGCGAGCTGCCCTCTCTGGCCTCTCAGCTCCGGGCGGCCTCTTTTAAACACAGTGATGCTGAGTCAGATGGGAAGTGTGAGTGCTGACTCACTTCACTGCCGCTGCTAAACATGACAAAGCAAAGTGTGGATGAAAAAACAGAAAAACATGATAAGGCAGAAATCAGTTCAGGCTGGAATCACTTACCTGAAGAGGTAAGACTTGTCAGCACTTAAAAATTAAATTATTATAGAAAAGCTTTCTACCTGATTTTTTAATGTTTTCATTTGTGTTTTTGATTTGTCTTGTTTTGCTCTGTGTTTTTGATCCCATATATTTTACTAACCACTAACTATAACCTTTGGATATAATGCTATGTAAATGCTATTATTATTATAATAATTGTTATCACTGTAATTATTATGATGATTATTGTTCATTATCTTCACTCTGGTGAAAGAAAAAACTTAACCAAGTGCCAAGTTTTAATTTGATACGACCTCATGCTTCCACTTCTCACTGGAAATTATTGTTTTTATTGACTCCACCACTTTGACCTGACACTTGAAGTCACTTCTCAGATTTAAGATTTTCCTCGAGCAAATACATTTACACATAATATTTCTCAGGACAGATCGGACAGATGTAAGATAACAGAAAAAACCTCTGCTGCTGCTACGGACTGTCTTTGCACTATCACAACTCATTGTATATCACCTTATTATATTATATCATAAAGCTTTGCTGCTACCTCATACATTTGCACTAAGAACTGTCATTTTTATTTGTTGACAATAAAGCTGACTTTGATAACATCAAGATTAAAACATCTGTCCTCTTTGGTTCTGCAGAGCTTCAGTCTCATATCATATTCAAGGATTATTATTTTAAATCTGTGTTGAGCACTTCTTGTGGGGGGAGGGTGGGGGGTCTCATCTTTTCCTCCAGAGGCCTGCTCCTCTATGTGTGCTGTGGTATTTTCTAATCACGCCCCCTGGTGACAGCAGCCCTCCATTGGTTTTCTCCTCCTCTGAAGGGGGAAGTGGGCAGAGCTTGTGGATTTTCATGGGGGACTGATAATCTCACACTGACCCGGGTTGAAATGCGGGATAGTAAACACGCAGCAGGTCCGATGATCGCTGGGAAACAGATGTTGAGCGGGACCGATCCACGGATATAAGAGGTAACGCTGGGCTGTTGGGTTTTTTTTTTCATTCTAACACCTCACATCTGGTTCAGCGGTCGATGGCAGCCGCCGCAGCCGCCGCAGAGTGAGGCGAGCTCGGCTGCAGAGTGGAGGGAGAGCCGGGGGGCTGCCTGAGGAAGAGGAGGATTCTAACATTCACAGATTGGAGTTTGGGAAACGTGTGATGCGCATGTATGTTATCATGTGTTTGTTGGTGTGATCCAGAGCTTCGAGACGCTCAGTGGCCTCATCGTGGCCCAGATTCCCATAGAGCAGCATTCATAAACAACATGTGATAGAGTTTCACACATTTAATTCAATTCCAAGTTTATTTCTGTGCATATTTTATTCATGCTGTGATTTTTGGCGCTGCACAAATAAGTCGTGAAGGTGCATCACCCAAAACACAACGTGCATTAACTCAAGGCTCTTTACATGTTAAAGTGGAGACTTCAACAGCTAACACAAGAACGAGCTCAGAGAAAAAAAAACTTCTTATAAACTCCTCAGGAACCTCCAGATGGAGAGCGAGCTCACATGTGCCTCGTCCGGTTGAAGAGAGCAGAGGAAAGTGTGGGAGAGAAGAGAGAGAGAGAGACCGGGGACAGTGGTGTAAAGTTAAAATTAAACTTGGTCCGACCGAGTGATGATAATAGACATAATGATGTTGATAATAATAATAATAATATGATCCTGTAATTCTTCATCGCTCTTCTGTGAGCAAAGTGGATTTTCATTGCCATTGTTTCCCAAAATCCTAAATTAATTTTATGCAGTTTACTCTAAACTCTTGTTTTTTTATTATTATATGTATTTATCATGTGATTTGTACTGTGTTATATTAGGTCTGGATGATACGGTAAAAAAAATAGCATCAAGATAAAAGTCTTGACGTCAGTCGATATCACGATAAATGTCACATTATTGTTTCTGTTAAGTTTAAAGACGGAGTATTGCTCCTGAGTGAAGGTCGTGGTTTTAAACATGTGACACGTGATAGTTGTGGGACTTTTCTTATTTTGTGTATTTCTTATCTTGTATTGGGACAATTACTGTTATTGTTTTATTGCCCCGCCCTGTTAAACCATTGCTCACATTTTTATTTTACCACATTTCTTCTTGTTCCTCAGGTTATGGATTCGAACCTCCCTTGTTTCCTCCTGTTTGTGTTGGTGGGCTGGGTCGAATCCTCCTCTGGTAATGTCACCCGCCACTTTGATTACTGCGTGCTCGGAGCCGGGCCTGCGGGACTGCAGATGGGACATTTCCTCTCCAAAGCCAAAAGAGACTACATCATCCTGGAGAGGAACGCGGGGCCGGGCAGCTTCTTCCACAAGTGAGAGACTTTGTTAAAACATGGAGGACATTTGTGTTTCCTCCTGAATCTTCTTTGACGTCTCCCCTCACTGCTTCTGTTGTGTGTGTGTGTGTGTGTGTGTGTGTGTGTGTGTGTGTGTGTGTGTGCAGGTATCCCAGGCACAGGAAGCTCATAAGCATTAACAAGATCCACACAGGAAGACAGAACCGGGAGTTCAACCTGCGTCACGACTGGAACTCGCTGCTGAGCGATAAAGGTGACCTGCTGTTCAAGCGGGTGAGCGGCGAGTTTTACCCGCCAGCCGACGCCTACCCGCTGTATCTGTCCTTGTTTGAGAAGGAGCTCGGGTTGAGGGTGAGGTACGGCGTGGACATCGGAAGGATCAGGGCGATGCAGTCGGCCGCTGGCAGGAGCTACGTCCTGACTGACCAACATGCCTCCGACTACAAATGCAGGTATTTTTCTTCACACTGAACCTATGATGAACGTTTCCTGTTTGGACTGAGAGTTGCATCGTGTGGTCTGTGCTCTCTCTCTCTCTCTCTCTCTGCCTCAGCGTCCTTCTGGTGGCCACAGGTCTGTGGGTTCCTCAGCAGGTGGAGTTCGTAGGATCCGAACTGGTTGAAGGGTACGAGTCCATCTCCACCGACCCTGACGACTACAGGGACCAGGCCGTGCTCATTCTGGGGAAGGGGAACTCTGCTTTTGAAACGGCCCAGAGCATCTTGGGACGGGCGAGTCGGGTGCACATGCTCAGCTCCAGCCCTGTTCGACTGGCGTGGCAGACGCATTATGTTGGAGACCTCAGGTAGAGCTTTCAACTCCAACGGTTCCCAAACTTTCGGAGGACACCCATCTGGTTTGATCTGGACTTTATCACGTCCACCACGGAGCATTTATTTATTGGTTTCTGTTGTTAGTAATTACGCGAAGATTAATAGATGGATTACCACGAAACTTGGTGTAAGGATGAAGAACCCATTAACTTTGGGTTAAAGGATTTTTATCAGTTCTACATATATTCAAACTGGATTTTGTGTTATATCTGTTAACTATACAAAGATGCATATCCCCAGTATTTTCAATGCACTTGATTTGTCAGTGTTGGATTTTGGTGAAGTTTGTACATTTTGTCCTCTGTCTCTTGGACCCATCTCTTTTATTTATTCTCTATGTGGATATACATTTTTAATCAAATCACAATTTATTTTTTATGCCCAACAGTCCTGAATTGGAATTTTACATTTTTAACACGGACAGTTCTTTGTTTTCCAGAGCTGTGAACAATGAGCTGCTGGACACATACCAGCTGAAGTCTCTTGATGGGTTAGTGGAGGCTCAGCTGGAGAAAATGGTTATCGTTCAACGAAAGGAGGAGGGCAGGAGGAGATCAGGCGGAAAGAAGAGAGAGAAGAAGAAGAAGAGACACTTGTACCTGACTCTAAACAAGTACACTCAAACCCAGGAGGAGAGGAACAGCTCGGACGTGACCGCAGAGGAGCTGCCAGCTTATCACATCGACAACTTCTCCATGAGAAAACCCTACGACCGTGTGATCCGCTGTCTCGGGTTTCGATTCAACTTCAGCGTATTTGACAGGTATAGATTTATGCAGACGTATTGATTGTGCCCCTGCTACATGTCGGATGTTGTGTTTAGATAACGCTCTCTTTAGCTCTGCCTGCCCACCAAACAGTGACAATGCAAAAGGGAGGTTGCCGGGGGTGACGGCCTGGTATGAAGGGCAGAACACCCCCGGTTTGTTTGTGCTGGGAACTGCTGCTCACTCCAGAGACCACCGCCAGTCTGCCGGCGGCTTCATCCACGGATTCCGCTACACAGGTGACAGTGGAACAGATGTTTGTTTACATTCTTTTGACAATTTTACAAATGATCGTGGAGTTATGTTGGTTTTTTTTGTTTTTTTTGCCACAGCACGAGCTGTACATCGTGTACTTGAACACCGCTACCATGGCAACCCCTGGTCATCGACAAAGCTGTTGACCACGCAGCTGCAGTCATGGATCCTGAAGCGGGCCGGCGAGGCCTCCGGGCCGTACCAAATGTTCGAGGTGCTCGGGGATGTGATACTTCTTCGAGGGTGAGTGCAAGTTTTCTGTCCATCCGTTTAAAAGTGACACGTCCTGGTCAGAGATACAGTCGCAGGTACTCATCCCTGTTTCTGTCCGACAGTAAATCTTTTGATTTACTGTCGGACAGCCCCAGTATCTTCTCTTAAACTCAAACTAAGGATTGTTTTTTGTCATTCAAATAATTCCGTTCAATCTCTAACGTTCCCCAACCAAGCTTCACCAAACCGCTCAAACTCATAGATATCATTTGTCTGAATATGTCAGACTTTTTTCAAACTGGTGAAAACACAAAAAAAGGCCCAATCCAATTCAAAGAAAGTGGGAAAAGAATTCTGCCCCCTAATTCGGATCCACACCAAAATTTGAGGAGTTCTTCCCTGAGTCATACTGCATCGTTCCACTAAGTTTCTTAATTTGATTCTGGTCCTTTCCTCTCTCGTCCTCGCTCAGCTCTCACTGTCAATATGTGGAGGAGTTTCCGGTCCAGGCGTTGCCTCAGTTCTCCGCTCTCTCGGGTCATGAGGTGTCCGGCCAGGGACTGATAGTTCTCATCATGCAGTACGGGAAGAAGAAGATCGACTACCTGGGGGCTAACAGGGCAGAAACCGACTGGACCAAAGCTTGGAAATCCAACTTCCTGCACCCTGTTTTATATTATTACGACAAACTTCCTACTGGTCAGTTAGAATTCTTAAAAAGTAAATGTACTTCTCGATTAGAATCACTGCAGTTTTTTAAAGGTATCCGTCTGAAAGCTGATGTGATCCTGTTTA